AGTTGGAGGTTGCTGTGAGCTGTAATGCCATGGCACTCTGCCCAGGGGGACAGCTTGAGGCTCTGTCTCAAAAAAAAAAAAGAGTGGGAGGTTGCTGTGAGCTATGAAACATGGCACTCTACCAAGGGTGACAAAGTGAAACTCTCTCAAAAATAATAAATAAATAAATAAATAAATAAAAGAATGTGAGACTCTACATATATAAGGACTTGTGAGCCTACAGATTCTTTCCTACATAAGAACAAGCAACCATGGCTTGGAGCCTGTAGCACAGTTGTTATGGCGCCAGCCACATACACTGAGGCTGGTGGGTTCAAACCCATCCCAAGCCAGCTAAAAACAGAAATGCAACAAAAAAATAGCTGGACATTTGGTGGGCGCCTGTAGTACCAGCTACTTGGGAGGCTGAGGGAAAAAAATTGCTTAAGCCCAAAAGGTTAATGTGAGCTTTGACGCCATGGTACTCTACTGAGGGTGACATAGTGAGACTCTGTCTCAAAAAAAAAGGCAACCATTTTATATAAAAGGCAGTATGTGCTGGGCATGGTGGCTCATGCCTGCAGTCCCAGCACTTTGGCAGGCTGAGGCAGGAGGATCACTAGAGGCCAGGATTTTGAGACCAGCCTGGACAATAGTGGGAACTTGTCTCTACAAAAATTCTACAAGGGCCAGGGAGGCCAAGGCAGGTAGATTGTCTGAGCTCAGGAGTTTGAGACCAGCCTGAGCAAGAGTGAGAACCTATCTCTTTAAAATAGCCAGGCATTGTGGCAGCCACCTGTAGTCCCAGCTACTTGGGAAGCTGAAGCATGAGAATCGCTTGTGCCCAAGAGTTTGAGGTTGCTATGAGCTATGACGCCACGGCACTCTACCCAGGGTGACAAAGTGAGACTCTATCTCACAGGAAAAAAAAAAGACCTACAAAAAGTTAAAAAAAAAAAAATCAGCTGGGCACGTGGGCTCACACTTGTGGTCCCAGCTACTCAGGAAGGTGAGACAGAAGGATGGCTTGAGCCCAGGAGTTTGAGGTTGCATTGAGCTATGAGGATGTCACTGCACTCTAGCTGGGCAGCAGAGTGAGACCTTGCCAAAAAAAAAAAAAAAAAAGCCAATGTGTTAGAATGCACCAGATTAGAATGAAGTGGAGGCCCCAGATGGATTTAGGTACCTCCACTCCTTGGCCATTGAGGGCTTCAGCCATAGCAGTCCACGAATATCTATCCCCACTTTGAAGAGCACATGAGCCTCACTAAGCAGACTTCCATGTGAAACACCTATGTATGTCTGAATCATGGGCTGCTAGTGCCAGGAGACTTCAGTCAAGCCAAACTCTCTAATTCTATAGCTGAGGAAATGAGACTGTTAAAGGATAAAGAACTTGTTCAAAGTCATCTGATAGTAAAAATTATAGCTGAATAGCCTGGTTTTGTGGCGGATGCTTATAATCCCAGCTAATTGGAAGGCTGAGGCAAGAGAATCACTTAAGCCCAAGAGTTAGAGGTTGTGTGAGCTGTGACGCCACGCCACTCTACCGAGAGCAACATAGTGAGACTGTCTCAAAAACAAAACAAAACAAAAAATTATAGCTGAGTCTTAAACTCAGGTCTTCAGAGTGCTAGGACTGTGCTCTTTGGAGCATACTGTGACATTCAGTTACCTTGTTGGTACCCTGTCCAGGTTTAGGCCAGTGGGGTCCTTAGTTCATCATTCAGGTTGATTCCATGCCCTGCTGGATCCCTCCTGGGGAATCTACTCTCCTCCCTGACCTTTAAGAAGCACTCTTCACTGAAAATTCCTTTCCTCCATCAAGGGTGAGATTAAGGATCTATAGCACTGGAGGATATGTGGGTAATTAAATTATCCCACTAATTACCTGGGGATGACCTCAGAGATTATCCTGAATTAACCCCTAAAAGATATATATCACAGGGCAGGGGAGGTGGGGAAAGTATTATGTACCTGTAGGCTAGCAAATGGTTCCATTCGAGTTTAGAGATGATGTGACCCATTTGATTGCACTCGCATACTGTGAGCACTACTATGTACAAGACCATGTGTCGGGCACTGACGTAATAGGAATGGCTGCTAGACAGAGTGCACAGCTACAGAGAAAAGCAGATTCACTGATTGCTATTTCTAACCTACATGACAGTGCAACTAGAAAAACATAAAACAAGCACTATCTGAGCACAAGGAAGGTACATGTTGATCTCCTTACAGATACCTGTGAAAGCTTCACCAAAAAAGTGACAGTTGGGTCATACGTTGAAGAGGATGTAAACTTTTGAAAGGTGAACAGGGGAAAGGCTTTACAGAGGAAATAGTATAAACATAGGCATTATATGTTTCCATAATGGCAAGTGGCCCTAAATGACTGGAATATAGGGTAGATTCAATAGGAAATGAATCTATTGGGAGCTTGGGAAGGTGAGCCTGGAAATTAAAATTGGGGTGAATGGCAGGGATCCTGAGCACCATTCTGCTAAACATGTTAATCTTTTTTTTTTTTTGGAGACAGAGTCTTACTATGTCACCCTCGGTAGAGTGCTGTGGCATCACAGCTCACAGCAACCTCAAACTCTTGGGCTTAATCGATTCCCTTGCCTGAGCCTCCCAAGTAGCTAGGACTACAAGCACCTGACACAATGCCTGGCTATTTTTTTTTTTTTTTTGTAGTTGTCACTGTTGTTTGGAAGGCCTGGGCCGGGTGCAAACCCACCAGTCTTGGTGCATGTGGCCAGCACCCTAACCACTGAACTATGGACACCAAACCAGAAGATGCTAATCTTCATCCTGAATCCTCCTGAGGTTAGTTATTTTGTTTCTACTTTAGGTATTTTTAAAAAGTGGAGTGATGTGCTTAGATCTCTATTTTGGAATGACACACTTTTTTTTTTTTGAGACAGAGCCTTAAGCTATCACCCTGGGTACAGTGCTATGGCATCACAGCTCACAGCAACCTCTAATTGCTGGGCTCAAGCAAGTCTCCTGCCTCTGCCTCCCAAGTAGCTGGGACTACAGGCGCCCGCCACAATGCCTGGCTATTTTTTGATTGCAGTCATCATTGTTGTTTGGCGGGTCTGGGCTGGATTCAAACCCGCCACCCCCGGTGTATGTGGCTGGCGCCTTAGCTGCTTGAGCCATAGGCGTCAAGCCGACACATATTTTAGAATGAAGTATGGATCAGAAAAAAAGAGATTAGAGGCAGAGAGACGAATTTGGAGGCAAATGCAATACTCCAGGTTAAATGATGATAGCCAGAATTAGAGGAATGGAAAGAGAGAATAAAGGATGGCAGGGAGAGACATTTTGGGATGCAATCAATAGGCATTAGTGAATAATTGAATAAGACGGCTCGGCGCCTGTGGCTCAAGTGGCTAAGGTACCAGCCACATACGCTAAGGTGGTGGGTTCAAATCCAGCCCGGGCCCACCAAACAACGACAATTGCAACCAAAAAATAGCCAGGCATTATGGCGGGCGCCTGTGGTCCCAGCTTGGGAGGCTGAGGCAGGAGACTTGCTTGAGCCCAGGAGGTGGAGGTTGCTGTGAGCTGTGATGCCACAGCACTCTACCCAGGGCGACAGCTTGAGGCTCTGTCTCAAAAAAATAATAATAATAATAATTGAATAAGGGAATTGAGAGAGAAGCATCACTCCAAGGTTCACAGCTTGAGAGGCTATACAGCCAGCAATGCCATTAACATGAACAGGGAACAGAGGAACAGAACATGACTGGTGGGTATCAGTTTGGATGCTCTGAGTTTGAGCTGCCTATGAAAAGTATAGCTGGCAATGACATGTAATTAATATTCCACATATTAGAGATATAAATCTGACAGTCATTAGAGAAATTTGAAGTGTTTTTATAATAATAGGTATTACTGTGTTAAATTAGCATTTTATGGCTGTGTTTCTGCTGCTTTATGTGTGCAAGTCTGTGTATCATCTATAGGTATATGTATTTCTGTGCTGACTACAAAAAATGAGAATAATACTAGCTAACACATGAGGCTATTATAAGGAGTAAATGCCTTTAGCCCGGGCAGTTGTTTTACTACTACTAGTTGTAGTGATCTGAGTACTGCTATTAGTAGGCATTAGTATGCAATGTACACATGGAACTCATGCATTAGTATGTGACATGTAAGTGCAACCCACTCACCTGAGCAGCTTCTCTCCCCACCTACTGTGGCATCTGTTGAGGATTCCTGTGAGGGGTAGAAGCAGGGGACGGAATGTGTATATGTGTGCAAGTTGAGGCAACCAGGTCAGAGGTGCTGATATAGGGCAGGCTGGCCTGGGAAGCCCATACAGGACATACTGGCAACCAAAGCTGGTGCCCGGTCACGAAACTGAGCCAGGATTACTGTAATAGGAGATGGAGGACACTCCATCCAGGAAAATACACAAAGCAGGACTAGTTAAGATTTCACAAAGAGTGGGCTGGGCGCAATGGCTCACCACTGTAACGCTAGCACTCTGGGAGGCTGAAACGGGTGGACTGCCCGAGTTCATGGGTTTGAGACCAGCCTGAGCAAGAGCAAGACCCTGTCTTTAAAAATAGTCAGGCATTGGCTTGGCCTATGGCTCAAGTGGCTAAGGTGCCAGCCACATACACCTGAGGTGGTGGGTTCAAATCCAGCCGGGCCCTGCAAAACAACAATGTCGGCTGCAACCAAAAAATAGCCAGGCATTGTGGCGGACGCCTGTAGTCCCAGCTACTTGGGGAGGCAGAGGCAAGAGAATACCTTAAGCCCAGGAGTTGGAGGTTGCTGTGAGCTGTGATGCCACAGCACTCTACCCAGGGTGACAGCTTGAGACTCTGTCTCAAAAAAAAAAAAAAAAAAAAGTCAGGCATTGTGGCAGATGCCTATGGTCCCAGCTACTTGGGAGGCTGAGGCAAGAGAATCGCATGAACCCAAGAGTTTGAGGTTGCTGTAAGCTATGACACTATGGCACTCTACCAAGTGTGGCAAAGCAAGACTCTGTCTCAGAAAAAAAATAATTCAGAAAGAGCTCAACATGCATACGTAAAACTTAGACACAATCCATTGAGATAAGCACAGTGAAACTATGTAGATACTTAGAGTGATGTCCCTAATACACTCTAAAACCAGACAACTGATAAAGCCTATGAAAATCAAATGCAGGCAGTTATATAGTTGCATAGCTCTCCTCTATACACAGGGCCTCCCCAAGTTCCTAGCAGTGCCAAAGTAATAGACACATTCATACAAATCCAGAGAAGGAACACAGAACTGGCAAAGGAACAAATGATATGCAAACAACGCTACATAGCTACAGAGAATGGGGAGATGCTCAAGTTCAGAGAAGGTACAAAGAGGACAAGAAAGCTGGATTGGTCCTTCCTTCCTGTTCCCCTCCTTTTCCTCCTCCCCTCCCTATTTTGTATAAAAATAAATACATAAGTTAGTAAGTAAATAAAAGAAAACTGGATTGGAGTGGAAGAGACATCTGGTAGTAGGTATGAAATGGAAAATGGCAACAGAGGGGCTGGGACACATCTTTGGAATCAACTTCTTTTCTGGCAGGTTTTTGTAGTGTGGGATGAGGCCTGGGCCATACTTACCAAAGAGGCTGAGCCCCTCCTTCAGTCCACTGGCTACTTTGTACACTGAGGGGTGAGACTCGCTCTTAAAAATCTGTAGAACACTGCCAGGGAGAAATAAAATAGTTCAGGGTATTGAAATAAGCACAGTGGAACAATGTAGATACTTGGAACTGAGGACTGAGAAAATGGGATGGAGTTGGAGATATCCTCCTGAGATCAAGTGTTTTCGTTTGTTTGCTTGTTTGTTTTTGAGAGAGCATCTCACTTTTTCACCTGGATAGAGTGCCATGGCATCATAGCTCACAACAACCTCAAACTCTTGGGCTTAAGTGATCCTCTTGCTTCAGCCTCTTAAGTAACTGGGACTACAGGTGCCTAACACCCAGCTATTTTTTTTTTTTTTAAGAGACAAAGTCTCACTCTTGCTCAGGTGGGTCTTGAACTCCTGAGCTCAGGCAATCTACCTGCCTTGGCCTGCCACAGTAGTAGGATTACAGCCGTGAGCTACCACACCCACCCTAAGATCAAGTCTTTTTTTTTTTTTTCAACCTCAAACTCCTGGGCTCAAGTGATTCTCTTGCCTCAGCCTCCTAAGTAGCTGAGACTACAGGTGCCCACCACAATGCCCAGCTATTTTTAAGGACAAGGTCTTGCTCTGGCTCAGGCTGGTCTCCAACTCCTGAGCTCAGGCAATCCACCTGTCTTGGCCTTCCAGAGTGCTAGAATTACAGGCATGAGCCACCAAGCCTGGCCTCATGAGATTAAGTCTTGGTGTAAAGTTTATCTCTAACTTTTTTGTGCCTCAGTTTCTCCCTTTAGAAAAGGAAGGTGAGAGGGCGGTGGCCCCAAATACCAAGGGTGTGGATTCAAACCCGGCCCGGCCAAATTGCAACAAAAAAATAGGCGGGTGTTGTGGTGGGCACCTGTAGTCCCAGCTACTTGGGAGGCTGAGGCAAGAGAATTGCCTAAGCCCAAGAGCTGGAGGTTGCTGTGAGCTGTGATGCCACAACACTCTACCCAGGGCAACAAAAGAAAAAGGAAGGTGAGGCTGGGCCCAGTGGCTCACACCTGTAATCCTAGCACTCTGGGAGACTGAGATAGATGGATCATCTGAGCTCAGACCTGAGCAAGGGCGAGACCCGCCTCTCTACTAAAAACAGAAAAATTAGCTGGGTAGCATGGTGGACACCTATAGTACGAGCTACTCGGGAGGCTGAGGCAGGATTGCTTGAACCCATAAGTTTGAGGTTGCTGTCAGCTATGATGCCACAGTACTCTACCAAGAGCAACAGTGAGACTGAAAAAAAAAAAAAGAAAGAAAAGAAAAAGGTGGCACGCCTGTAGCTCAGTGGGTAGGGTGCCAGCCACATATGCCCAGACGTGTTCAAACACGCCCCAGCTGGCTAAATAACAATGACAACTGCAACAACAACAACAAAAAGCCAGGCATTATGGCAGGCGCCTGCAATCCCAGCTACGTGGGGGGCTGAGGCAAGAGAACCAGTTAAGCCCAAGAGTTTGAGGTTGCTGTGAGCTGTGACGTCATAGCACTCTACCAAAGGCAACACAGTGAGACTGTGTCTCAAAAAAAGAAGAAAAGAAAGAAAAAGGTGATACCTTTGTGTTTTTCCTCCTGCCTTCTCCTCACCACCCCTCCCCTTCCCTTTCCTTAGAGAGAGAGAGGTCCTGGGTCTTAATAGCCCCAGGATTAGGGAAACTAGAGCCTCATTAGGATTATTAGAGGTTTAAACTTAATGTGTCTCCCTCCCCAGAGGTGGCAGCCTGTCTCCACCTTCTTACCTATAAGTGTCTTGATCTATGCTCACCAGATGGGTCCTAAGAACAGAAAAAGCAGGAACGTGGCTGGGGTCTGAGGGGTCTAAGTTAATTCCAAAGCTCCACCTCCTTTTCCTCCCTCCCTGAATTCCTGAGTATCGTCCTAATCCTCTCCCCAGGGGTCCACATCCTTTCAGGTTCTCCTGTTTGTCCTCTCCTGTTTGCCCACTGGGTCACTGCCCACTTCCCCCCAACCCTCATCTTATTTTTTAGTCCTCCCAATCCCACCTTACTTTGATTGAGGTTAGGGTAATCACCTACAATACAAATTTCTTAAACCCCAGAATGGGGACGCTGACATTATAGTCTTCCAATTCAACTCCAATTCTTCTTCGACTAAGGAACTTGAGCAGCCCTCCAAGTGCTCGAACCTGGAAAAGGATCAGCAGTGAAGTTGGGGTCAATTTTAATGTCCTGGAGGCTGCACAACACCAGGGAAAAGAATTATTTTCCAGGGCTGAGCCAGTTCACCCCCCAGAACTCAACCCTAGGACTGGGATTCTTACACGGTTTTCCAGCCTGCCACCTCCCAGCCCTTCTTCCCCAGGACCCATCTCACTGTAAGGAGGCAGTCAAAGGGAATAATGGAGGAGAGGAAGAGAATTTTCTCAGTGGCAGTCATGGAGTCTGGGATGAAGGAGTAGTTTCCAGAAAGGAGTCGCTGCTTGCTTATCTCCAGACCTATGTGAAGGAGATAAGGAGAGGGAAAGGTCTTATAGCCCAATTTTTCACCCCACTTTAAGAATGGGACAATGGAAGCAAAAGAGATGATGTAACCTGCCCAAGCTCACACAGTTAACGGAAAGATGAAGTAAGAGCCAAGTTTTAAGACTCTTAGTCTAATTTTCTTTTTATTCCACATATTATATAAAGATATTTGGCTGAGGGTGGCACCTGTGGCTCAAGGAGTAGGGCGCTGGCCCCATATGCTGGAGGTGGCGGGTTCAAACCCAGCCCTGGCCAAAAAGTTGCAAAAAAAAAAAAAAAGATATTTGGCTGACAGCACAACCTGAGAAAGATAAGTGGTTCAGAGGAGTAAGATATCTGTCTGGAATTGGGATTTTTGTCTAAAAAAGTTGTATTAATAGAGGAACTAGTAACACTGTTTCACATCTAATTAGATAAAACACTCCCTGTCCTTACTGTTAACCTGGGAGGGTTACATGTATGAAAGTACATTATGAATCATTAGGATCCCTGAGACAGACCTTTTCTTTTATTTTTGAGACAGAGTCTCACTATGTCACTCTCAGTAGAGTGCTGAGGAGTCACAGCTCACAGCAAAAATCTTGGGCTCAAGTGATTCTCTTGCCTCAGCCTCCCAAGTAGCTGGGACTATAGGCACCCACCATAACACTCAGCTATTTTTTGTTACAGTAGTCATTGTCGGTTAGGTGACCCGAGCCGGGTTCAAACTGGCCACCTTTGGAGTATGTGGCTGGTGCCATAACCACTGTGCTGCTACAGGCGCTGAGCAGACTTTTTATTTTTCTTTCTTTCTTTTGGGTGTGTGTGTGTGTGAGATATGCTGCCTTTGGCTTGATAGGGAAAATTCCAACCATCAAACCTGTCCAAAAAGTATCACCGGCTCGGCGCCTATAGCTCAACCTGCTAAGGCGCCAGCCACGTACACCTAAGGTGGCGG